TTTAAATAAGTCTTAATAGAGACTAGGGGTGTCATGGTTTACGCTGGGGACGGCATGGTAGTACAGACTGGGGCGTCATGGTATACGTGGGGGCATCATGGCTGGGGGCGCTATGACAAGGGGGCGTCATGACCAGTTACCCATGCTTTGAGTCATAAGCACTCTAACCAGCTACTTACCCAACACCTCTGAACAAAAGAGGACTTGTAACAGTCTTGCCAGTGACAGGAGAGGCCTTGATTACTTGACCTGGATCTGCCACAATCAGGGTATGCTGAAACATCAAATATTTAAATCTTTTTAAATAATGAAAAAGCAACAACTATACAATATCTATTCTCTAATAAAACTAGAGAAAAGAATTATCATTTTGCTAGAAGTTTTTGAAAGGCATAGGAATAATATATTCATCATCAAAAGTAAATGGAAGGTTCAGTTCAATTTCATTAATAGTTGTTAACTTAGAAAACAAAATACCATATCCACTATGTTCTATAGACCGTTTGCTTATCTAACTTGATGAGCCACAAAACTGAAAAACGCAAATTCAGTAAAATTGAAAAGCCATTTTTAAATTCAAAGAGAAGAATAATCGGTATGATAAAATCTTATTGCAAAATCTAATAGAAATGTATAATGTTTCTCATTATAAAGCTCCTGTTCTGGTATCGTGGTCCATCAAGTTCCTTAAATTTGGATGCGCAAGCAGCCTTGAGAAAATGTTCTATTGGTTTATTTTATTGCCAAACTTTTGACCATGTTGGCCATCTTAAGGGCTATAACATGTATGACATGCAACTGTATCGGCTTACTATTTGTACATGAGAGGTTATTAATTTGTTACCTGATCAAGATCAGACACGTCATGATTAATATGGTCAATAACTGCAGTCTTCTCTTCATCAAATTCAATGCCACATTCACTTCCTAGCTCGCGTAGTGGGTCACCTGAAAACACCAAAAACCATCATTTTTGTCACTTAACTTTATGCACTATTTGTTAAAAGCCAACTGTGTTGAGCCCAATCAATAAAAGGAAAATTAAAGAAATGAATGACAATTGCAATAATTAAAATACAATGGGAATGAAGACTTACCAATTGCAGAACTAGCTGCTACCAGGACGTTTCCTCCTCCATCAATGAAATCAGTTATGGCCCTGACATTGAGAGAACCTCCAAACTCTATAGTCGAAACAATTGTTTTAATACCATTATACACATACATTAAACTAAAAAAGGTAAAACTATTAATTCTTTTTAGAGCAAAAATAAACTGAAATTTAAAGAAAATTAGCAAGTAAGCTAGTATCAAGAAGAAGTATCAATGATGAGAATGATATAAGTAACTTGAACACAGTATAAAAGTTTTGCACCATCATGTGATGGCAGCCATGTTAGATGTCAGGAACGATACAATCGTTTTGCATAAGAAAGAATTCAGTTCCCAAGAGCAAAGGGGTTTTATTGTTCTGTTACCTAACCACAGGCAGCCCAAGCTGTATTATGGGCGTGGACATGTGATGGTGCAAATCCATACATAGAACAGTTTTTGTATGACCGTGAAAAGCTCACAGCAAGAATACAGTCATGACACGACAAGGCATATGCCAGACCAATCATATTGCACTAGAATTTACTCTCATTCCATTCAAATGCCCAAAAAAGAGCACAAACATAGTGTGGACAAGGCCATGCCAATGTCAAACAAATTAAACAACAACAGAAATAAGAGGCAGGGTTACTGTAAAAGCATAGGTAATTTCTAAGGGTCCATGATGATACAAACTAACTTCAAACTTAATGTTGTACCTTCCACTGATGGAGAGAAGATGATGAGGTTGTCATAGAGAAATTCCCCATATTTGACAAGGGCAAGGCCTGGATCATCTGCTGTTCTGAATATTAGTTCATAACCTTTATCTGAAAATATTAATAATGAATTACAATTTGGTAAGATATCAAAGTGAACTCATCCTCTCAGTATCTCAAGAGTCTTGAAGAGTTCCTGACCCATGCACTGGCGATTCCTGTGCCATGCTCTAACACTTAGATATTAAGTCTCATATGTGTCCTTGAATTTGTTAAGGGTTTTCGTTAAATTATGGCATCTCAATTTGATTATTTCAATAGGCCCTTTGCAGTTAATGGTCATGTGTCTATACTGGAGAGAAAACTTTTTGTTTCTATTTTAAATTGGTGGAACTGAACTGAATGAAACGATGTGTAACCAGTGTGTTACCAAATGCATCTTTTATAATAATTTATAAAATAATTGGGATACTACGCATGCTATGATTGGTCGAAAACCACGTTTGATGAGAGTATCAAGACACGCTATCGTCATTTTGCAACTGTCAGATTTTAATCTATCGCGCGCGCTCATTGGCCAGTTTGAATAAGACAGCACGTAGGGAGAATTTACTTATACTTTGCTTTTTTTCGATTTTTTCGCGTGTTTGTTATTTTATAAAGCAAATCAAAAACAGCCTTCCGTGTTTGATACTCTGATCAAAACAAGCGGGATGTTGAGAGAACACGAGAGGAGCGTAGGAAACCACGATGCCACAACGTTAAATCTTCAAATAGGTTGTAGAAAGTGTGTTTGCTCTTCAGTAAATTTCACCATGGGAATCAAAATGTGCATTCATTTGCACTCAGTAAATTAATCAGCATGTGATCATTGAGCTGTAAAATGCTAATTGATTTACACAGCAAATGTATTGACATGATCTGAAGGAAGCTTAAGGGAAACGATGTTTGATAGATACTACATAAGTTACTTTTGTTTGGTTTTTGATGAATAATTTATGAAGAATTGAGTCAAAATGTATTGGCTCAAGTTATAATATTCATATACTTTACAATATGTTTTTAGAAATATAGTACAAAAATAAAATGAGATAGTAAATTTATATTCAACTGTGGAACATAACTAAAAATATCCTTGCACTTGCAATAACTTCCATCAAAGATATAAGCTCGACTTTTCGAGTGCTTTCAAATCACATTAGCTTTAAGCTCAAAATTTTAAAAGTTTAAGCTTGTTTTCAATACTCGGTTCGTTTACCTGAAATCATCGGATAAAAAGGAAGATCTTAAGGTTCAAAATAAATCTAAAGAGTTAAGCATCAGTAAAGATACGAAACTTATGTACAGGTAAGCTTACTTAGTAGGGAGGGAACAAAGGAAAGACCAACACTATAATACTTCTTTACCTTTAAGTGAGCCAAAAAATATCGAGTGAGTCTCCTTGGTGTTTGCATTATCTAACAAAACAAGCGTTTTCTTTCCTGCGGTGGAGACATGAAGGAAAGTAAGAAGGAAAAGAGAGAAAAGTCCCAGCGAACGACACGTRTCCACAGCCGCCATGGTTAATGGGTGAAGGAAGAAAGAAAGAAAGAACTAAGGCTTGATGACGTCACCTAGACACCTGATATGATATTCCTTACCAGGACTAAAGGTACAAAGGAAGCCCAAAATTATAAATAACGCAAGAACTAGTACAGGTAGAAAAAATATAGAAAGAATAACAATTAAACACTATTATTTTTTCCTCCAATTTCCCAAACTGCGAACCACGCTACTCGCTGTTTTATAGATAAGTTAAGTATGATTTAGAAACGTTGCTGCGAATACATTTGATATTTGAAAGTGGTGTTCCTGTGGCTAGAATAGGTGATAGGTGTTGAGGCCTATTAGGGACCAGTCATTATTTAAGTCGGGTGGAGATGAAAATGGGCCGGGGGGCCCTCAAATTTTTTTTAGTGGAACATGGGGGCCCTGAATTGTCAAAAGGAGGATGATTGGGAGCCGATTTTTTAAACAATTCATGGGGCGGGGGTACACGAAAAACATGAAAGCTATAAGGTAGGGGAGGGGTCTGAATGCATCAAAAACATTCTCTCCCCCTCCGACTTAAATAATGACTTAGTGAATTCTATACGGAAACTTTACATAACATAATGTAAAAATAGCTACTGTAACCATTACGCTATAGAGACAACAATTCTTTCATTGGAATTAGTGCCTTCCAAGATTTCAGTATACAGTAACATAAATGATAAAAAGCTACAGCTGTTTGAAATTAGAAAGGTTTGTATGGAAACAACACCAAGGGCCTACCAGCCTTGCTATATAATATAATGTTTTTGATACATTTCAAATGCTTATAGCTCTTCAGGGATTAATATATGATAACAGAGATAACCGAAATTACTAATTTAGACATGGTCTTTCTTGCAATGAAAATATATTTTTGAAATCATTAATTGTTCGTGGTGCTCGTTCCCCGAGTCTTAAACTCGTTTTTCATATGGTCGACTTCTGATATGAGATACTGTAGTCCAAAATATATATTTTTTAATCTCATTAAAAAGTTCTCTCTTGTGAAAGTTCCCAAACTTTTTTTGTGGTTTCGGTCTCTTGACTTGACACAAACTTGTTTGCATTCTTATAATTAAGAACCAAAGAAATTATATAATACTGATCTGTGAAATTTCTCCCGAGGCAACGTACTGTCTCGATTGCCTCTTAGTGGCTATGACCATGACCGTGCATGGAGAATAAAAGTCTCTTTTTCGGCTATGTATGTCAGTTCCATGTTCGAACGATGCAGGAGATCGATCGACTAGAAACAAGCTTAGAAGGGGTCGCCGCCGGTAAACGCGTGCATGTCTTTAGCGATAAGATTAAAGGTTCAAGAACGAGGGGAACTCGTATGCAGTTTCATGTTATCTTTGCTCGAAAGTACGGTATTGAACAAAGCTGGCTCTGTCCCAAACTGACAGCGAGTGAGGTGGAGGACAACTCTAATTTAGGACCACACATGGCCACACACATACACACGCTACCTTAGTTGTCAGTTTGTTTGATATCGACCTGTGTGGTCTATCGAATCTTCAAATTGGATATTCAATTCTGAAATAGACCGCTACATTTTGCAGAGCATCGGCTAAAACTTGAATACCTGATGTCAGATTACTAGGAGTCGGCAGCAGGTGCTAAGGATTAATTATCAGTCGCCTGCTTATCTAAGTGGGACAACCGGCATCGAGCTCTATAGTTCAGTGACAAGGATCATTTATGTCCTTCCGTATCCAAAAAAATGGCCATGTCGTTCAACCGATTTCAGGTTACAGTGCAATAGGGGTAAAGATGGATACTATGCTGCGAAAGTACAATGAAAATGATGAATTGCCATCCGAAGACTAAATAGATCCTGAAAACAACTGAGCCGTTAACGTTCCACGCGCCCGGACCGACCAAAAGGTAGTTTACAGTGACTCAGTGAAATGTTATGTTGAAACTGGGAGTGTACTGTCAACATCGATACTTCAAAGGTCACTTTAAGAACCTTGGAGACAGTTTATATGTCTACCTTTGCTAGTCATACCTCTTGTCCCGGCTTAGCCGCAAAGAAGGACTGACTAAGTTATGAGTCATTATAASATGTTTAATTTCTTTCGGGGAAAAAAAAAAATCTCACAAAATTTGCGTAATTTTTTGAGACTTCTCCGTATAAAAACGAATTTAAGAGGATTGCAGTGATAACTATGAAGTGTTTTCTATTTTTGAACTTATTTACAATTCTTTCAGTAGTAACGGTTTTAGTAACGAGGCAGACTGTACGTAGTGAAACCTTGTTAGAAATTAAAAAGTGAAACGGATGTGTTAATAACTGTACGTACGTTGCTATATTTATTTCTTTTAACACAAACCACCCGATTACACTTAACTATGGACCCGTTTTAGCACTTTTTCATTTTACACAACTTTCAAGTTTGAACGCTATAAATAACTCTAACTCTATGTTAACTGTTTAATTTATTTCCATTGTCATTGTACGGCACTAAGCATGCACTATCCCAACTATTTGTGTATGTGGACTGAGTTCTTTATCACATCACCGAATAGAAACGAAAGGCTGGTTTTGCCGGATATATGAACTGATGTACCGCGTCGCTGAGCTCCAGCGCGGATCCTCAAACCCTAACCCCTATCTAAGACAAGAACATTAAAAAAAATTACATACCCTCAGTATTCAAGACACTAGTTTATTCAGTGTTATTCGTATTATTTTCGAGACTTACTTAAGGAAAATACTAGATCAGAATCTATACAACGAATTCTTTGAATCGGTTTACGATATCCCAATAAAACAAGATACGATAACATAATATATTGTACACTTTTAAGAGATTATTATGTAAACTTAACTGACGGAGTAAAAATAAGACGAAAATCGCGAAAAACCATAGCGGCACATTCAGCTGTATGGGTATATCGATCCCCCCAAACATATACAGTACATTATTATACGAACACCTGGCTCACTAGAATCAAATTTTTAGATCACTGATCTACAAACACACTATAATATCGATTGTATTTAAGAACCGGAAATGATTCACTTCTTTCCACTTAGTTTTTTCACGAGCTAACTATCAATATGTTTTTCTAAAAAAACATTTATGATGGTTACTTTCCCTCCAGGCTTTGCTTGTATTGTTTCTTATCAAACTTGATATGTTTCATGGCTGCAAGTTACGTCTTTGATTCCACAGGGCGTCACCCATCTTTGCCAACAAACGTCCAACTTCGATAATGACTTTTTTCCTTTGTTCTTGTTCCGAGGGCAGAGAAGATGTTTCATTTTGTTCCGCATCTTTCCCTTCACTGTTCATTTGCTGTTGATAATTACTGAGCGGTACAAAAGACGAACAAGTACTCTCGTAAGTTGAAGGGGCTGACGAATTTGACTGACTTTGTCCGCTGTGTACGATTTCAACGATAAATTCGTCAAGCTTTTTGGGTTTCTTCAGTGATTGTTCTTTTGATGTGACTTGCAAAGGAGGCGATTCTTCATGATGAGAAGCCATTTCCCAGGTTTTCCTATAAATCAGCTTTTCTCAAAATGATAGGTCGTCTATCAAGCAATAATTCTCCTAATATCTGGTATATTACCACGTTAATGGGCCAACTGAATTCCAGCGGACTCAGATAGGTCCAGATAAGCTGTTACGTCCCATGTAAACCTCCAAATCAACTAAGCTGGCTCGCTTGTCAGTGCAAATATGAGGATAAAAGGTGTATTTCCGTCTGTGGACGTATCGATTTTCCTGCGCTGTTGAGAAAACTCCAAACATCTAAGGTTTTTGTTTTATATCCGGTGCCATGCAATTTGTTGATTCGTTGCCGGTTTTAGTGATGCTACGCGCAATGATCATCGGGGGCGCTGTACAGCTTTTAATTGACAGGCGATGTGTTGTAGCTTGACCCCAATAACTCTCTCAATTAGACCAATAATCAATGTCGAAATCAGATTTGCACCCGACTCACACGGTGAGCTCAGCTAGTGGTCCACTAATGTTCACTTTGGGCCGGCTTACTTTGAAACTTGGAAAACGAATGGAAAAAAAATTGTCAATGTAAGATGAGGCCACGTAAAAGAACAAATAACAGAACGCGAGATAAAAATTGACTAAAAGAAAACAACTTCTTTTATTTTATTTCACAGATTGATTGGTAACGGTCAAATACGCAGCAAAGCATTTTTTGTTTTACGGATATTTTGACGGATATCTCGTTGCTTGGCTATATTAACACAGCGGGAGCTGTAGCTCTCTAGTTACATCGGCACCTAATGGTACAAAATATATGCCTTTCTTAACGCGGAAGCGAAAATACCCCTAAGGCATCATAAGGACAACAATTTTATTTCTATTTTCTACCCATAATTAACGCAAGAATCGTTTGGTTATCTTGTTCACTCTACATTTCGTCTTATTGTTTATAAATGATTAAAGATATATGCACTGCATCAAGCGTCAATTATACTGAAATGCGGCTGATACAGGTGGGCGTTTGCTGAGTTCCTTACGAACGAATAATTTTCATTTCCGGATAAGAAACCATCGAGGATTTGCTCTTTTAAACTGTTGTTCAAAATTGATAAGTTCTTCCGAGTTTTATATGCTTTATATAGTTTTTTGTTTCTAAAGATTCGATATTTGACCTTTCGCTTTGTCGTAACAAATCGGTTTTCTTTGCATAGTTAAAGCCGCATTCTTCTGGAACTCTCCGCAAAGGAGTCGGTAAACTAAAGGTTGAATGACTGGTCTGCGGCTCACTGAACCAAATATTTTGTTTAAAAAAAAATTATTTTAACAGTTTTTTAGTTGATACCGGAGTGAACAGCTCGTGCCAAAAGCTACCAACTAATAATCATAGCAAAACAAATAAGATATTTTATGTTTGAAAAATAATTAAGAAAATAATTATAGGATATTTAGATAAATTCAAGTTAACGCACTCTTTGGTTAGATTGACTGATCTAAAAACAATTAACCACGAACTGAATTGCATTGTTCGTGATACTTTGCCCAAACCGAGTACCAAATACAGCAAAATCATGAAACATTTAGTTTACTTTTATAAGCCCAAAAAATCAGATTTTGTTCCTCATTTCTTTTGGTGTATGCACACAATCCAAGGCAAACACTCGTTACATTAAAACACATCAGAAGCCTAAACCTTTTGTTTTTCCTTCCATCTTGCCGACCCCTTACTAAATCTAATTGATTAGCTTTTTTTCTTAGCTCCGAACGAAATACACTTATGCATAGGAGATTTTTGTTGCATTTTATCAGTTAATTGAACGTTAATATTATATTTGCAGATTATTGAAGAGTTTGTCATGCAACAAGCTGCGTTCGCTCACACTTTGCCTCTTTCCGGTTTGTATTCTTCCACTAGTATAAGAACATATCAGTTAAGGGTATTGCGTAGTCGGCGTTTTTGTATATAGGCGCCTGCATCCCGAAGATCAATGTTTTGGCATTTGCCATCAAATGGCGGGAAAAACCAAACGCTGTTCCGTTTGCCCAAGTGCATGGATAGAGAATCTTCTTTTTGTCATAAACAAAAGACGAAAATTAATAAAATGTACTTCACTGAATGCTTTTAAAGAAGAAAGAAGCCGATGGCATAAGAAACCAAGCAAAATATACCTCAGCTCTAAATCTTTCAGAGGCTCACGGCCAACTGAGGTTACCATTAAATTTGTCCCTAAATTAATGTTGTTGACAAACGCGTCAGTGTAATACGCCTATGAACTCTAGTGGATCTTTTAAACAACCTGGGAGGTCAAATGAAGTAAAGACAAGAATAAACGATAAGACAAACGCGCCGATAATTAATTACACCTCAACCCTTTGGGCTCCAAACCACTTTCTCATTTGTCCATTTTTCTTTTCCTTCGTATTGTTATAATAAGGAAAACAGTTAAACGCTTGGGCAAAGAAATAATCGTCGTGATCCAAACTAGTGGGTAACAGTTCATTTGTCAGTTATTACTGCTAAGGCTTCCTCGTGATTTAGATTGATGTTGAGACAGTTTGATGGTTTTTCGTAGTAAAAAAAGTGATACTTTTCAGTGTTGCATAACTGGGGTAACAGATCGAGATGTAAGTAGCGATTGATGTTGCACTAGAGGATTTTAGCTAAATGTGATGCATGTTAAGAAGAATTAGAGACCAACGAAAGGGACTGCAATAGAGCCTGAAGCCGATGTCAATTGATCAAAGAGCGGAGAGGTGTGTCAAATGAAATGACTTGCAAGAAGAAGAAAAAACCCACATCTAATTAACGATGCGTTTTTTTAATCAGAGATTAAACAATGTAACAATATTTCTAGCTCGGTTATCACATTTGATTAATTTTTACATTGAAAATACCATAGAAAGCCCACGAGATCACAACCCAAGGAGTAGTGACTTAATCAGACCACTAAATAAAAATACTAGAAATCAAACAAACAAAAGATGCACTATTCGGGTTTGCTCTTCCATGGATGCATGTAACGACACATGGCCGTCATGTTGGTTGGCGATGACAAAGCATCCCTCATCAGCTTCTCGTTAGATCAACCAACATGTCGGCTGTTTTACTGTTACTTGCATCACAAGGATAAAGAAGACGTGTGGTTGCACCCCAAGAATACTAGTGTGGCTAAATGGACTACTTCGACGACGCGGCAGCCATCCTCAATCGTAATGCATTATGGGTCGATCGTCTAGGAGGCAAACGAAGCTTTATTACAGTAATGATGCCGATTGTTATTAACAGCTCATCACAAACGAATATAAAAAAATGAATCAAGGGGGTTCATATCGATCACATTTACTCATAAAAGAAAGATAAACATACGAAACTCTATGCATTTTCCATCATCTTTGTTTCGTTTTGCCCCTTGGCAAGATGGCCGCCGTATCGTGGAAGTAGTACACTGGTGGCACCTTTGATGTTCAGGAACCAATCTTTGTTACGAGTTTGTCAGGGAAGTTTAAAGCTTTTTGGCATGCACATCCTGACTAGAACAAATGATGTTTAGATACTGCATTAAGGTATTTGGCATGCACATCCTGACTAGAACAAATGATGATTAGATACTGCATTAAGGTGTTCTACCATGATATGGAGACATTAACATCGTGTTTCATAGAGGCCGCTTCTGGAGATGTATCGCACCCACTTGATGGTGTCATGGTCACTGTAGTTCAATTTGGGTTCGAATACTTTCAGGTAACGAACCTTTAGCCCAGAACATGCAAATGGTACCTAGAAAATCACACATAATGATGAATATGAAAAGTAGGATATTTCTCATACTTTATAATGTAATATTTCAACCAAAGTCAGACAACGACTTGCTTTGGCCTTTATTTTCTACAGGATTTTGAAAGATATTTAACAAATAGACATCAGTTTTTTATGTGTCTGTCCTCTTATTGACGATAAATTGCGTCATCACATTGTCAAAGTACATGTAGTGTGGATCCGCTAACTACTTTGACAATGTGATGACGCAATTTATCGTCAATAAGAGGACAGACACATAAAAAACTGATGTCTATTTGTCTTTTACAATAACAAAAACGATAAAAACTTCGCATTTTTAGCGATCAAAACAACCATCGGAAAGAGCGCGCGCTCGTTGACGTCAGTTTTATCTGTCTGTCCCAAGGGAGCACGTTAAAATTTTGATTGTGTTGGTTTATCTTCGATTTTATCGCACATAATCTAAGATATGACAGGCGTTCCTTGTAGTTCTTGTTTACGCGCGCGCGCTACACTTTATGGCAGGCGTTCCTTGCTTTAGTCGGGCTAGCGAATTTACTCCGAAAACCGACGAATTTCTTGCGAGGAGCGGAGCGACGTGTATTACACTCGTCATTCCCTTCCTTACACGATCGTAGGCCATTCGGATCGGCCGAAACCAAAACACTACGAGGAACGCCTGTCACATGATGGATTGCGCGCGCTAGATAGATCAACCAAGAACAATACCTTTCCTTACACAAACACAATTTTAATGTGCTCCCTTGTCTGTCCTCTTATTGATGATAAAAAATAACCAATCAGCGCGCGAGAAATTTGTAAGTTACTGTAAGGTTGTGAGATTGAGTTGACATTGCAGTGCACTGTGGGTCTGTTTTAGGGGACAAAAAGATGCCATCTTGGAAATCAGATTTTTGACTAATACACGATTAATACATACAGATGTTTCTTGGAACATTTAAAAGTTAACATCTACCAGTGGCTTTGTTAACATACAGTGCAAACAGAAAGTGGTGAGCAACAGCTTTACCTCAAAATTTAGAGAGATTGGTGGTCGTGCCCATTTCTTTGAATCCTTGGTAGGCATAAGTTCTATCTCGGCACTAATTTGTGACTCCTTCATACCACCCATTCTCTTAATCCTACAATAATACAATACAATAAAGTCAACAATATTTGTACAAGGCCTATAGCAGCAGCAAATTTTATTCTATGGCTCTTGAAGTCTGTCTTGTGCCTCTGTAATATTATATTTGATGTATTATTTGAAATTATTTTTTAACTAATAACTATTTTACTAAAACAAATATTGTACAAGATCTTAGTTATAAGGGTTAGAACCAAGAGGGGCTTTGATCCTCATTATTATTTATTTGCTTCATTCTTCAGACAACAAAGACCATTTTTGCATACTGTAAATCATCCCTCAATGATATTGATAGGATTGAATTGATTGGAAATAAGATTTATTTTGATCACTCCGCAGTGTGTTTGAAAGTCTCTGTGGTTTAATTAAAACAGGAGAAACATAGAGGCTTGAAACAGTAGAAAGTTTAGGAAGTAATAACCTGAAAAAAACTACCAGTGTTAACAGTTAGAGTGCCCTCACTGTAAAAGTGCAAAGAAAGAAGGTTTATTATTTCCATTGTCCCTATTGATTGTATTTCTGTAGTCTCATGCACTTTAAATATCTCAAACAGATAGTTTAATTTTGACCAAGTTGAGTATTTTCAAAAATTCATTGGAGAACAAAAGATAATATACATCAAGATATTGGCATAAAATGATCCTATCTCATAAAGCCTAGTTCTACAATGTGGCTTACTTACTTCCAGACAATAGCATTTTCACTTGACTTGTATTTGGCTTTGCCCTTCAGACAAACTACTTGTACTCCAGCTGTAGTGGGAGGGGTAGGAATTCTCACCTAGTAAAATCAAGTAGTGGAAATAAGAAAACTTTCATCCCTTCTTACAAATGGAAAGCTGAGAGAAGCATAGATTAATTCAGGCCTGCAGTAATTGCCTAGGCTGTTGCAGTAGCCCTGCCTCTTATTTCTGTTGCTCTTAATTTGTTACATTATTTATTGTTGGTTAAGTTAATAAATTTGAATTAAGAGAGATCTTGAAACAATTTACTCATAAAACATTGAGACTGTATAAAACATAAAAAAAAGAAAGATGAACATTATGTTTCCTCATGTGCTATAACATCATTATCAAGCAAAAAATGAGTAAAAAAAATCAACTATACGTAGAGAAGCAGATTGTAAAGGAATGCAAAGTTACAATAAAAGCAAAGGTAAAAGATAGAAAGAAAACGCCCTAGTAAGAACAACTAAATGAAAAGTTTTGTGTGAATTGAGACATTCCAAGTATTGAGGCTAGGCTTAATAAAATAAGTTAATAAAACTGAAAATACAATTCATTCTATAACCCAAACAGAATAAAATGAGTCCTCACCTCAATTTTCTGTCCTAAAATGGAAGGCTTGAAGTTTGACTTTAGGACAACTTTTACTTCCATTCTTGATCGACCCACTTCCCTGACCAGTGGTATCACGCGGAATGGCAAGCTAATGTCTTTTGTTGTACGATATCTGCAAATGTAATGGCAATGAGAAGGTGTAAGCTAATGGTAATACAGCTTAAGCTAATGGTATTTCAGGTCTTTTTTAGTGAAAAGAAAAATGTTCAGATAAAGGACAAAAGGCAAGCTAAATTTTACTGAAGAGATTTATTTGTTTTTTGAAAACCAAGGTATCAATCCATCCATTGACTCTCCCATCATTCCATTTATCAAGCTAGCCAAAGACAATTTCACAGTTAACTCTGCCATCTTGAAAGGTAGAAGGTAGCCATGCCTTTGCACGGAAGTGAGACGAACGATGAACTTGCAGACAGAGATATGTGAATAATTATTTTCCAAGGTGTTAAAAAAGGTCTCTATCATTGCAAGCTCACCGTTTGTCTCGATTTGATGCAAAGGCACAGCCACCTTTCAAGATTGCACAGGGAGCTGTGAAACGTACTATTGTGATAGGTACGCCCAGTTTATCTTTTGATTTAGGGCACTGTAAACCTAGCCATTTAGTTGCAATGGGTATTTCCCCATATATTCTGTCAAGAGTTTGTATGCATTTGGTAAATTTAAGTACATGCATATGAAATATGTGCAGTAATATTTCGGTCATTATTATTATCAAAACATTTATTTCATCATTTATCATTTTATATCTTGTGATCAGACGTTACTAAGGATCCTTGCAGATCCTGTACAAATCGCCTAAAGAACTTTGTAAAGCTGTGAAGTATGTGAACTTTAGTTAATAGTATGATCGTTTGTTTAATTGATTAATTGTAATTGTTAATGTAAGTAACCTATAATTGAGTGTTTACATGTACACAGCAAAAGATTATTGAATAAGAACATTATTAAATATTTTTTTTTTTTTAATGAATATTGTTATAATTATTAACCCTAACACAGGGTACCCAGCTATATTTTTTTGCTTCTTTTAGAAAAGTAACTTTGCTCTTTGTGGGTTTCCTGTGTTGTGATCGTTTTCCTATTACTTAAGCTGTAATCAGATCTGTGCTGTGATCAGATCGGCACTGTAAACTTATAGCTGATTAAATTCAAATCAATAACCGTTGATGTTCTGTTTCTTATGGGTTGCCTGTGGTGTGTAACACACTTTCTAGTAAGCAGTCAAAAGAAGAGAAGGGATGCAACAAAGCAAGTGTCCGATTTTAAAACCCCTGTTCAAATTATTCATGAAGGTAATTTATTAATAAAAAACCCATGTAATGTTTGCTCAATGAACAAACTTTGGGTCGGGATGTTTTATTTTGTTGAACTCRTAAAAGTAAMGATCYTAGAAAGTGATATTTAAAAGCTAAGTTTTAGTTATATGTTCACCTCCAGTTGCTYGGACYGCTTAGCTTATGAAACAGGATGTATCTGGTGTACGTCCAATTTGAAACAAWAGAATTTGACAGCTTGTTGACAGAGAGATCTAAATTTCCATATATTATGAAGAGTAATCGTAGGGAAAACTTGCTTTAGTTATCCTGCCGAATTCATTCTCAGGCAAAACATTTTCTTTATCTGAAGTCTACTCGTGCATCTTCAAGATTTGAGATACTGGCACTGTTCCTTCTTTACACACCGAAAAGTTTTTCAAAAGCCTTACATCATAACAATCCTATATTGCTCTTAGAGCAATGATGTTTCGCCCCGCTGCTAGTAAGCCTAGTCTCAGGGGTGTGCAGTTTTGATTTTTTGTGTCAAGTGGCTTTGTTTTACTTTTAAAAAGACTTACATTTTTAACAGTTCCGAGCGCAATCCAATCACGACAGTCAGACAGTAAGTAATGTTTAGGAGTTCTATTTTTAGCTTTCTTCATGGGAAAAAAAGAACTCATAGGTCTAAATGGTTGGCACCTAAAAATATGATATAGATTGCTTATTGTATAAATATAAAAAATCTCCATAAAGAAGAACCAAAAATAGAGTGATTATTAGTGAATTGTTGACTAAGTTTTTTGTCATTTAAGCACTCGAACTAGACGTGGTTGAGTTCCTGAGTTTTTACTAGTAATTTAGAAGTTTCAAGGATCTCTCGTTCTTGAAACAAGTTTTATCTGCATCTGTCATTTTTTCTTTATTCACTTGAAGAAATAGCAGGTACTAGCTTGAGTAAGACAATGTCCAAATCCTTTACTCTATGAATGAAATATCTATCTCGCATTGTTCGTTGGAGTGCAAACACGCACACACACGAGTCTTTTTAAATACATCCGCTTCGACAATGATGTCAAACAATAAATTGTTATTTAAATAAAACAATAATTGAGCTATTGACCTTAGCGAATCACGGATCATGTACAGTCAATTCAAAAAATGTTGTCGTCGACCAACTTAAGCCTACGCGACTGGACCGAAAGGAACTCTGGGTAGAAATCATTGAAGCCGAGTTGACTCCATAATTTTATGACTAGTTATGCCTCATTTACAGCACGAACCTTCGTAAGCGAGCGGGAAGTGTTGAAGGAGACATTTTTTCAATGCCTTCATATTTTCGAAATTGTGAACTGAATCATAACCACTTTGTTTTTCTTTCCCTAAACCCGAAGACAGCATTTGATGGATTGTTTCTCGCCATTATTATCTTATTACTAGTGAGAACAATTAATTCAGAGCGAATATTTAACCGCTTCAGTGGTTTTTACCCATATTCCTTTCGATCCAGTCGCATAGGCTTTAGCCGGTCGACGACAACGTTTTTTGAATTGACTGTATATAAATGAAACAAAAGGTATACAGGACATCATAAAGACACTTGTTGATGACGATAGGTGAAAAGATTACTGTCAAGTATTGTAAACAGATCTTGAATAACTCACCTTAAGAGGACTTCATTCGTTATTTATGAAGTGATAAGAAAGCCGAATGTGATTGGATACGATAGAAAATAATAACAGCTGATTGACAGCTTCACAGAATATTATGGGCTACCCAAACTGATCTTAGTAGCGTTTCGGCCTGAGGGCGGAAACAAAAAACATTTTCTGAACTGATAAAATATAATTGTTTTAGTTTAAAAACGTTTAAATTTGAAATAGCTGTTACTCACCAAAACACAAAATTTGAAATCCCTTGTTAACAGGATTTTACATTTTGAGCATTTTTGAACAACATGACGCAATCGAAACATGAAAATCATCATGACTTCCTGCTGGTTGTACTAAAGTAGCTGGTCTGAGCAACTGGAGGTGATGATCATACGATAAAAGTTGCTTTGTTGCAGCCCTTCTCTTCTTTTGAGTGTTTACTAGAGAGTGTGTTACCAACGGTTATTAATTTGAATTTAATCGGCTATCAGTTTACAGCGCCGATCTGATCACAGCACAAATCTGATTACATCCGATCACAACACAGGAAACCAACAAAGAGCAAAGCGACTTTTAAAAGAAGCAAAAAAATATAGCCGGGTTCCCTGTGACCCTAATGTAAATTCGTGCAAAAACATAAAAAAGATGGCATTCACATTACCTCATAAGTTCAAATTCTCCATCTGGTGGTATGAAACTGATGCTGCGTTCTGTTTCAAATTTACTTAGTTTCACACACTGCAAGGAAATAGTGAATTTTATTATCCATGTAACACAATAAGTAATAATCAAACACGTAAGTGTTCAATAAAAAAAGAAAAGCAATAGCAAACCAACCTGATGGAAAGTGCAGTCATCAATTGCTATACCAGTCTTACTTGTATTCCTACAGCAAAGATTAAATGCGCATGATTGGTGAATCAAGAGTTACTATAAGACTTGTATAATGTGGAAAGGCTAAAAGCAGGTTTTCTCTATGAACTTACTTTTTGGAACCTAAAGTTGTATCCAAAGAAGAATCTGATGATGAAGACTTTGAGGACTGCTTTTCAACCACAAGTTTGTCATTCATTCCAAACTTACACTCAGGCATTCCAGACAAGAAGCTCTTCATAACTACACGGCCAGATACATGAGCACTAAGGACTTGCCCTGTAACAAGAAAAGAAATGCTAGAACATAAGTCAGGGTGGTAAACAGTCAAATCATGTTTAGCAAAATAATGAAACTGGCCATTTCATGTTTCAAGAAAAATAAAAACAGTCAAATCACATTTCACAAAATGACCCTTTAGGTACTGATTTCAAAGTTTTTGAAACTTGGCCATTTTGATAACAAAGAATAAAACAAAATGGTGCAAATACAAGTTTAAAAATATTCATATCTTTTGATTTTATTGCTCAAAAATTCTCTTCGATTGTTAGATCTTCAAGTCTTTCAAACAATAATGGTTAATTTAATCATCGAGTAAACTTGAAATTTGGAACCAAAATTGTGACATCATCTACCCACAAAAAATCTAAAAATCACAAAAAGTAATTTAAACATATGATTGTGAAAACGAATGACTTTTGTTTCAAGGCCAAGTTTCAAAACTTTGGAATTGAAATGAAAAAGTTTTATTAAGGTGATCATTTTCAGGTGCTTTTGTGCCTACTGTGACCATAATTTGTTTTGTTTTTGCATTTCTGACAGCAAGAAACTTTGGGGATGGGGTATCATTTTTTCAACCTTCTTTTATACTGAGAAAGCAAAAAATCCAGTTTTACACCCCCACCCCCCTTTACTTTATGACTAGTTCCTTAACACCCTGATAAATACTCAGTCAAATACTCCAGTACCCCTCATGAAAGGGAAGTAATTCCTAGTTGATATATATTGTAGTTGTAGGCTAATCGATATGGAAACAGATCAAATATTTTGGATGACTAAATCTATTTCAGAACCAAGTGAGTAATGACTAAAGCAGAGTTTTCAAGTTTTTTTTGCTAAAATTGTCAAATTAAAGAGTTTGTCAAGTGCTTTTCAAGTGTGCTTGCTTGAAAACGCGAGTCCAATTTAAGTTTTCAAGGGGTTTAAGGATTAGCACAAACCCTGAATACTATTGTTATAAAGTTGTAATTTAAGAAAATAAAATACCGTATTTACTCGTTTAAACGCTCCCCCCCCCCCCCCCCCCCCCCCCCCCCCCCCCCGAATAGACGCCGCCCTCAAATAGACGCCGCACTTGGAACTCAAAATAATAATGAACGCCACATTTACGGTGCGGCGTTTATTTGAGGAAATAATAATTTCCTGGAATAATTTATGATTATTAATAAGAAAAATTCTATTTCAAGATTAAACTAGCAATGGAAATTTATTTTCTTTTAGAACATTTCAAAGTGACTGTACTTCTTTGCTCTTGTGTTTAGTTCTCTTTTGAGAATTCTTGCAATGCACAATTCTGATGTTAAGGCATAGAACTTCGCTGGTACAACAAGGCCGACTTCTCTATTTCTCTTTCCAGTGACTCGTGCACAGAGTTTGTTTTCAGCGTTCGCTTCAATAAAGTTTTTCAATAATCGTGACAATTCTATTGGAACATGTCCAGCAAGCGTCTCCTTTTGGCTTGATTTTAGGTAAACACCAATTGCATTAGAATCGTTATCTTCTGCCTCGGCGCGCAGTCCCACTTACATTCAAGTACTTGATCCATTACTGGAGACCACACAGACTTGTAAACGTGATGCCCTCTGATAACTGTCTCGAAGTCAACTTTGAAATACATTTTAAATTCCACTGGTAAGCTTCTTGACATTTTCTCAGTTTTCTGCTGGACTTGCTGACCAAAATAACAACTGCTTTGCTYGATTACAAYTAAACTTGACACACTGCTGCATATCACAACCACTGCAGTATGTATGGCACTGAAGATCTGCTGACAGTTTAATATTGTCATGGCCAATCAGAGAGAACCATTCCCACATGCCAGGAAATGGTATTCTAATTTCAACACCTGGCATAGCAAGCCGTGAAATTCCTTTAGACTTTACGTAACTGTTTAACTTGCTTTAATATGGTTACCATTCTTTGTAATCGCTATGGCCGATTCAAATGCTCAAGATATAATTTCCCATAAGGGGAAAAGAAAACAGAAGTACAGTCTTGTACTAAAGAAAGAAGCGATTGCGTTTGCGGAAGTACACGGGAATCGACCTGCTTCTCAACGCTTTCAGCTGGATGAAAAGAGAGTACGAGAGTGGCGAGCAAAGAAGATAAACATCCAAACTTTGCTTGAAACCAAAAAGGGTAAAGAAAGAAGCAGATTAAATGGGGCTGGAAAGAAACCCTTGAGTACTAAAATGGAAGAAGTCTTCCTGGAGTGGATTGGCAACAGACGGGCTCGTAGTTTACAAGTTTCCTGCAAGCTTATCATGAAAAAAGCTGAAATGGTTTATCGTGATATTACGCCGGAAAGCAACACGTGACTGAGGACTTTCAAGCGTCAAGAGGATGGTTGTGTAGATTCACGAAGAGAAATGGTTTATCATTGAGAAGAAATRCATCTGTGGCTCAACAAGATCCAGAAAGAATGGTCGCAAAACTTGTATCCTACATAATTCAAGTTAGGCGACTTCAAATAAAGCACAATTATGGTCCTTGTAACATAATTGCCATGGATGAAACCCCAGTTTGGTGCGATATGATTTCAGAAACTACCGTCGATACAAGTGGAAAAGAGACTGTTACTCTTAAAACGACTGGTCATGAGAAGGCAAGAGTATCTGTCGTATTAGCAGCCAAGGCGGACGGAACCAAATAAAAACCAATGGTTGTATTTAAGGGAGCTTAAAGGTAAGTGGCAGCTTTAAATCAAGAGTTCAAAGGCCGGGCAGTTGTCGCAACTTCCACTAACGCGTGGATGGACTCTGAATTAACTATAGTCTGGATCAATTCTGTCCTTGGGGCATTCTCATTCAATCGTAGGCTGTTAGCCTGGGATTCGTACGAATGCCACATTGAAGATACTGTTACTGAATCACTGACGTCAAAGAAAATCGATCGCGTTATTGTGCCGGCAGGATGCACAAAGTACATTCAAGCTCCGGATGTAAGCTGGAACAAGCCATTTAAGTCTTCCTGCACAGAAAAGTAGGACCAGTGGCTAAGTACTGTTGGCATACATGAAGAAACCACTTCTGGGAATTTAAAAGCACCTCCGAGAAGAGTTATTTTGCAATGGATTTTGGATTCATGGGCCGAGATGCCCACAGATGTGATTAAGAAATCCTTTACAATGTGTGCCTTGAACCTTCCAGTAGATGGGTCCAGAGACGACACTATTCACTGCTTAAAGGATGGACAGCCTTGCAGCTCTGGAAGACCAATGCTTCAATCACAGCTAGGCATTTTGAGTGAACCAGACACTAATCCTTTTGAATGTACAGACTCAGATGTAGAGGACGCAAGCCCCACGCTGCAGCTATTAGACCCCGACCACGAAGAGGACAGTGATATTGAAATAGAACTTGAATAACATTGTGTGAAAATCACATGAATAGACAAAATGAGATTTTGAATGGCATTTATATTAGATTTGTTACTGTTTCCTATTAAAAAGGTTACCGTATGTAGTATGGTATTTAGCTATTAACTTACTGAATAAAGTGATTTTTGAATAAACGCTGCGGCGTCTATTCAAGTAAATACGGTAGTAAATGAATATTTGCACATGAAATCCCTCCTATTTTGGAACATTGTGCTCATATTTCTAACAAATCAGTAAAATTATTCCAGTGACGATATCTATGATATCATTGATCAGTTTACCTTGAGGTGACATGAGTAAATTGACTGACTCTAAAACATCCAAAAACAGCTCATTTCTTCTGTATTTGATATTCTCTCTTCTCCAGCCAATCTGACCAGTTACTTGACTAGTGATCTGAGCCTGTTCTTCACGAGTCTAAAAAGGGCAAGTGTGTCAGTCAAATCCTTATTCTCAGGATAAAACCTACACAAATTCTATACACTGGATAATCTTATTCCGTGGGTGACTTTATCAAGTCTTTGCACAACTGGATCCAGGGCCTGGCTGTACACTTATATATAGTGAATAAATGTATTGGATAACAGCATTGAATTATCCACTGAATAAGGACTTCTCCATTGGATAGTGTTATCAACCCTTCCTATATGTACAACCAGGTCTAGATAAAAAATATGCAGTCACATATTACAGCAGTTTTCACATGAGTGGGGAATGATACAGCAAATGTGTACTTTAAGTGCTGTAAATGGATGTATCACAAAAAGACAATAATTTTTTAGCTTGGATATGACGTTTTCCCATTGCAGACCAAGTGTCATTCTCTTGGGAATGAGATTCTTTGTATGAGTTGTATCCATATTCATGTGTCTTCTTATGCACACCCGTTAGACAAAGAAATAATACCCTAGTAGACAAAGAAATGATACCCCAGGGAATGACACATTGTCTGAAATGGGAAAACAATCCTGCCAAGCTTGAAAGGTCTTTTGACCACCATTTCTGCAGTGCTTTCAATGTCAGGTTCAGGCATTAAATAGGTGGGTTCCAAAATGGCTGCCATGCAGAAAAAGCTGGTAAGATTGCCCTTACAAAAAAGGGTTCCAATTTCATTCTGATGAGCGTAAAGAACACAATTGGCTTCAAAATATCTTACAAAAGAGGGCTTCCATAAAACTCACAGAACCACCCCTGGATCTGCCACTGGCTATGTGGCATGTAGTATATACACCCTGCATTTGGACAAGTAAGTCAGTACTGTACATTTCTTCTCTCATGAAAGCTGCTTTAATGAACTCCAATTAATTCTGTACCTGTGTCTTCACTCCTTGTTGTGTAATGAAGGTCTTCAGAATGGCTGTGTCTGTTTTCTGGGGGTAGCCATAATCAGCAATTTCTAAAAAGTATTAATGGTATTAACTGGCAGATCCATGAATTTCAGATAAATTTCAGATAGTTTTTTATTTAATTTACAAGCATGTGAAATGGTTAGTATGAGGCACTGAGAGTGGTCACTACCAGGGTTTCTTTATGTTCTTAGTGGTTCTTGTACGTCTCTTCATTGTTGGTTAGTAATGGTGAAGTGTGGAGAGAAGCCACTTGAAAGTCTAACCATTTGCAGATGTAATTACAAAGGCAGCACTTTCTCCTCAGTTATTTTAAGACCCCTAGTGTTGGTCCGGCCAGGACTTAAACAACAACCTCCCACACGAAAGTTCTATGATCAACCAAGTGAGCCAACCGGTTGGCAGTAAAGAAGGCTTCAAAACATTTTCTACTGTACAAAATAAGAGAATAAACATCGCAGGGTAATTGCATTTGCTCCAAGCTTTGTAATGTGATATTTGTATACTAATACGTGTATCTGGGATAATAAAACATGATTGCAAAATGTTCAGCTGGAATGCACCAACTTACCATCTAATAATTCATAAATCAATACAAAGTTGTTCTTGATCCCTTCTTCTGTAACTTTGCCAAAGTATGACATCATGATATCTACTGTCCTGTTCAGGAACTCAAAGACTAGTGCAGCATTGACATTCTGTCTGGTAACAGCAGCAATCCAAACATTGCCCTGCCGGATGTGAAAGAAACTGATCCTGGCAATATTGGTTACAGGGGAACGGATTTGACCTCTAGCATGGATGACATTAACTCTGAAAGCATCTACTGTGTTGCGTCTAGAAGTAAAGAAGAGAACTATTGACTAATTTCAGTTGCCTTTGAGATGGCATGACATAAGAGTTGCTTTACTTAGAGTGGGTGCACTGGGAAATTAAGTCTCAATGCTACACTTCAGACATTTTTTAAGGCATGTTATAGCTACTCTTAGTTACATGTGCAGGTTCAAGATAGAATAGCATGCTTCAGATGTCAATTAAATGCATTTCTATGCCAACTGCATGCATAATAATAATAATAATAATAATAATAATAATAATAATAAT